GGACAGAACATAAGTAAAACGTCTACACCAACTGTGGGTAAGGAAAACATTGCTTTAATTGAATCAAAATTAATACCTTATTTAATTTCCATAGCGATATGTCAGCACTGATCAATGTGACTAAAGTTGTAAATGAAATGAAAAATGATAAAGTATGCATGTACATGGTATAAGTGCATAATAATTCTCTATTATTTTAGTCTTCCTGAATCATTGTAACCACATGTTTAAGATACAGGATGTCTGAGAGGTCTCCAAGGTGCAAAACTGTAACAGTGATGTTTTTGATATATATTAATCAGTCTTTGAGTTTATAATTCCAAAGATGATAATGCAGAAAATGTGTAATTTATGGAGATTTTCTGTAGTTTTGGGGTGAAGTTCTCCGCTTTCAAGTATAATGGATATATAATGTCATATCTTCCTCCACTCCCTTGTTCAAGTCCTTTTCTAAAATTGTATCTGGGAGAGTAGAAGACTAGGATTCGCCCTCTGAATCTCCAGGCAGGTGCTCTACCGACTGAGCTATCTGACCACTGGCCATGATCGAACCTGGCTGATCGGTACATTCCTCCATCCTAAAAGGTCTTTGACTCAAAGACTCCAACCTAGGCTCATTTCTGGCAGGCTTTTCATCTGTCAGTTCCAGGGTGTGGTATGGCACAAAATGTATTGGGAGGATGCTTTGGACCAGGCAGGGATTTGAATCTATGCCCCTGAATCTCCTTTCAGGTACTCTACCAACTGAGCTTTCAAACCTCTATAGTCGTCTCTATATAGACTGATAAACTTGATTATAATATTGATTTTGTGAATCAATCTGACTTAAAGTACAAAACAATCGAGCTTATTGGTCGGTAGAGACAACCACAAAGGGTTGGAATGTAATTAAAATATACAGTGTCATGTTGGTTAAAGTATATATCTTTAGGGAGTGAATGGTAGATGCTTAACCAATGCTGGAGAGTGGAGAAATTCTCAACGATGAACAGAAAATTTAACTCCTTAAAATGCACTTTTTTGCATTATAGTCAAAGACTAATACTCGTATATTGTCACGACACCCTATGCTTGATCAGTGATAACAAGATTGTTGGTGTTTTTACAATTTTATATAAAAACAAATATGTACAAATACATGTATACAAAATGAAAATTAATGAACAATTAAAAAAATGTCATTTATCGTTCATCTCGGTCCACGTCCTATCCTTGTTACGGTCCATGCCATACGGGTACTACGCCCTTGCATTGAATGCCAAAACGTCCTCGACGTCCCGCGCCTATCCAACGCATCCTTAGCGTCTGCAGTGCTGACAAATCCAGGCAACCACATTTCCTCTCACACGGTCTCGACCTAGCGTACCACACCCTCGTGTAGTCGCCCTGGTTGCCACCGCCGACAGCACCAAACCATTGTGTAACCACATTTACGTACATGTATCAAGAGGGACCTTCAACAAATATGCATAGAAAAATACCCAGCAGGCACGCAACGTTGTTTCAACGTTGAAAGGAGGTTGAATATAGGTTGCAACGTTGATCAACTATATTTCAACGTTGTTTCAACGTTGAATCCTCAACCTTTTTTCAACGTTGAAACATCGTTAAAGCTGCAACATATTTTCAACGTTGAATGTTCGTCGATATTTCAACGTTGAAACAACTTTGAGGCTGCAACATATTTTCAACGTTGAATGTTCGTTGATATTTCAACGTTGAAACAACTTTGAGGCTGCAACATATTTTCAACGTTGAATGTTCGTTGATACTTCAACGTAGAAACAACTTTGAGGCTGCAACATATTTTCAACGTTGAATGTTCGTTGATATTTCAACGTAGAAACAACGTTGAAGCTGCAACACATTTTCTAGGTTGAATGCTCGTCGATATTCAACGTTGAAACATCGTTGAAGATTCAACATGTTTTCAACGTTGAGTATTTTCTGATTATGTAGAGTTAAAACAAGGTTTAAAAATGCAAAGTTGACTATCTCTGGATTTCAACGTTGAAACGTGGAAGATGAAACATATTTTCAACTTTAGGAAAGTTAGGAAAAAATAACGTTGAAACAACGGGTAACGAGTATTAAGCACTTTATAGTTTTTAAATTCAAAATATAAAGGTGTCTTTAACTTTTAATCAATGCGATTTTTCGCAATATACACACAGCTGTTTGCATTGTTAGAAAATATTATATATATAATAATTATACTTAATAAATGAAACGCATACATTATAAAATGATTCACTCAAAAGAGTTGCGCCAATAGCTAGTACCATTATAAAATTTTAAAAATGAGTTTATATGAAGCATGGCATCTACATTTAACACTTCATTATAATCATGTTTCAAGAAAGGTATTTTAAAGATAAATTATAAATGCTTTTTTGAAATATTTATAAGATATTGTAACGTGCAACGCGGCCGAGCTTGGTGTTTGGTGATATGACTTGTATCACCAGGCGTTACACTCAGGTTCGTTAACCTGTTAACTAAGGTTTTTGTTGACCAAATAAAATATGTACAAATACAATACAATAATTCAATATAAACAGTTTCTTCTTGATTCGATAACCACTATCTGTGGTCAACGTCGGGTGTCCCCCGTAAGTAAATTTCTTCTTGTCCTGCCACTACGAATGTACTGCCTCATATATTTATTTATATATTGCTTGTCAACAAATTTGTACATGTCTGGGCTAGATTTTCATTTTACTTGGGTGAACCCTAATTCTCCCCAGTAAAAAAAGTAATTGGATCCGTGCCTGTCTTACTTGTTAATTTTTTTTCTTTTCCAGTTTAATATTTTGTGCAATTGTTCAGCATTACACGTTACACCGCGATGACAGTATACACAATTTACGTGGATTATACATAGCTAGGAGACAATCTCAAAGTTTTTTTTTTTTTTTTTTTTTTTTACAATGCTTTATCGAAACAGTAAGCGTATGTCTTGTCTAATAATGCAATCATTTTTTGTACGAACTAATTTGACATCTCTTCGAGTAAACAGAGGAGCACTGCTGACTGCACATCATCACATGTGACGATGATGTATCCAGAGACTATCTTAAAAGGCAAGATTAACGAATTAATGAGGTACGTTTGAGGATTTTAAATTAATTTATGAATGCAACTTGCATTTTTGAATTTTGAAAGTTGAATTAGTCATAGTTTTTTTTTTGTTGTAGAATAGAAACCTTCATGTGCGATAATGCCCAACATTGGTGCCAGGCACATTACTGGAAGAACACGAAGAAGAATAAATAGATTTAATTATTACGTATAAATATTTTATAAAGATTTTTGATAACACATTAGATTAAAACAAGTTAAATGTATGTATGGGATTTGTTTTTTCTTTACATGGTACAATTTTATTAATAATTCCATATTATCACTATATGATACCCCCCTTTCCAAAATAATTAATTGAATAAATGTTGAATCAACTGTTTTTCGACATACAATCAACGTTGATTATCAATGTTGATACAATGTTAAGAATTCAACGTTGATACAAATTTTCAAAATCTAACATAAAATCAATATTGAATCAACGTAGAAAACAACGTTGATTCAAAGTTTATTCAATGTAGTGTGCCCTTTTTTCAACATTTAATCAACGTTGATTATCAATGTTGATTCAATGTTCAGACTTCAACGTTGATACAAATTTTCAAAATCTAACATTAAATCAATGTTGAATCAACATAGAAAACAACGTTGATTCAAAGTTTATTCAATGTTGTGTGCCCTTTTTTCAACATTTAATCAACGTTGATTATCAATGTTGATTCAATGTTCAGACTTCAACGTTGATACAAATTTTCAAAATCTAACATAAAATGAACGTTGAATCAACATAGAAGAACAACGTTGATTCAAAGTTTATTCAATGTTGTGTGCCTGCTGGGTATAAGCTTAACCCCAAACAGGCTGCCTTGTGCAACATCATAAATGTTTACACATATAATTGTTCAAACATACAATTTTGACTAATATGTATCACACCGCTTCGTACGGCAAAACACAATAATGTACAATATAACGTTACACTCTGAGTACTAAACTAATATTACTTTACGCTTATACTTGCGGCATGAACGCGTGGTAACAAATTCCCATATACAATTCAAACACTTTCTCTCGTGGACAAAAATAGATAATGCTCAAGTAATATAATACTGCATTACCTTTCAATATAATAAAGTAAATTACACTTACCCTGATTGGAGATTCAGTTACCACGAATAAAACTACCTAACCCTCCATGGACATGTGAAACTTCTTTCACTGGTCAAGGAAAACGTGAGCTACCCAAGACATCCCTTTATATAACAACTAACAAAATATTTTAATCATCTGAGCGTCACAATGGGGCTCCTTGCAGGATAAACCTAAATACAAATAAGGGTCAACACAGGGCAATACTAATAAAATAGAAAACAAAACAAATATACAGGTAAGAAAATCAACTTTGATTATGACATATATGAAATCATAATGTTAGAGTTTTGCAGCTATTCCTAGAGTTGTCTTTAATTATATGTTGATAATAATCAAACTTGTAAATGCAGAATCTTATAGTCCTTTGATCAAGATTTGCAAAGGTATTCAGTCTCTCAAAAAACCCATTTGAAAGAATATTCTGTAAACGTATTACATTTAGCGATGTATTCTTTTTACCTATTTTGGCGGCAAACAACCTCCGCTAATTCAATTACACCGCTTAATGTCTTGAACATATACATTTAAAGAAGAAAATTACGCCTAACTTCTTCAAAATCCAATTTAAGCCAAATATTGCACACGCTGAATATAATACATTTACTGTAATATGATACATAAAGAGACACATAATCAGTCATTGTAATAGATAAAATAGATTTTCAAAAAAAAAAAAAACACAAAATGCTTTTAAATTAAAATGACATATACCCAAAAGATCACACAAACAGTCAGGAGTGGAATTTTTAAAATGTTTATCAGTCATGTGTGGTCAGGAGTAGCTCTTGAACATATTCAAGCCTTAATCAAAGTGATCTATTAAAATTATTGTCTGGTTTATTGTCTGGTTACTTGTAGAAAGATTAACTTTAAAATCAAACGAAACATTTTATTTTTCTTGTTGACAGTAAATGTTCCCTTACAACATGCACCGTCAAATCTTAATTTGGTACCACCTGCAGCCCCACCCCCCAAAACAGGCGGTGGGGGTCCTCGACAGTGGGTCAAGATTGGAGGGGTCAGTGTAACAGTTGTAAAGGGACAACTCACTGATGAACAGGTCAGACGATTTTTTCCTTTTAAAAATGAATAATTTGATCCTGCAGTGCAGATTTATGGTTTAATTAAGGGGGCCGACTATAGTTTCCATTGCGCAATATTTCGCGCATCGTAGTAAAATGAAGCGTATTTACTGTTTTAATGCAACTTTTTTTTGCTTAATTATTAAAATTAAACAAAATCAAAAAATTATAGGTATAAAAATGTAATTAAAATTTGATATAACTGATTTTTAGCCGATTTTGCAATTGATAGGTAGGTTGACGTCGTTCAGTGTGTTTTTGACGTTATGATAATCTGTAGCTCTTAAAGAAAGGGATAATAAAGATATTATTTAAAAAAAGTAATAAACATACGCTCTTGAAATTTAAAACATAAAAATTTGAGAATATCTCCAACATTTTTTTATGTTTTCCTTTGAATCCATTGTGTACGTCATATTTTGTAATACTCTATAAAAATAGTAAAATTTGCTAATTTTTTGCATTTTGAAATGCCCCCTCTGGTAACAAGACGGTAGAATTTTGTGTTTCTTACATATATTGTATAATATAGTATTACTCATCAAATAGTAAAGTTTGAACAAAATGTCTATTGTAGTATTTGTATAATTTGTTTTAAAGTGATAAAAATTGACATTTCCCTATATAATTCTAAAGTAAATGTACCTGTATTTTGAGACGGTCCCTTAAAAATACCTGGACGGTAGATTTCCCCCAAACTTTGCATGTACACTGAAGTTAATGTAAGTTATATATGGTATAAAAATGAAGAGTTTCGCTATTGTAGTTTTCACACAATAAAACTATAGTCGGCCCCCTTAAAGGATTTTGGATGCAAGCTGATAGAAATAATCTCTTTTAAAAATATCAGGCTTCTTTCCTACCTGATCACTCAACTGTATATCGGTAAATTGAAATATGTGATAATATTGGTAAATCCCTAGATGATGGGAAATTTTTTTGTATGGTATTTTGTGAACTATCAAAACATTTGATCGTGCCTGGCATAAAGGTCTCTTGTTTAAATTAAAACATATGGGATGAATGGAAAATTGCATAAATTAATAGAAAGCTATTTAGAATGTAGAAATCAAAGAATTTTGTATTGTAATTCGTTATCGTCACCGAAACCTTTGTATGCTGGTGTTCCCCAGGGCTCAGTTTTAATGCCAATTTTGTTTTTAATCAATGTGAATGATGTCGCTGACAATATGATTACTTTATGTAGACTATTTACAGATGAAAATTCTTTGCAGCATTCATCTCAAAATATGAAATTTATTGAAAGAAACCTTAACAGAGATCGTAATGAACTAGACTTTTGGTCAAAGAAGAAGAATATGGAGATAAGAAGAAGGATATGGAGATAACGAACAGTATTCAATCTCAAAGTCCATAAAACAATACAAAATAAGAGCAGCGCAAATACGGACCCCCGAAACAACAGAGGTGTGATCAGGTGCCATGGAGGAGTGAGCATCCCCTGCCGAGCGGTCACATCCGCCGTGTGCTCTCTGTCATGATCAGGAAATAACAGAAAAAATCCGTTGTCAATTCATTGTATAAATAATGGACTAACAATTGGTATGAAAAACGTCAGTCAGCATTTGCCTCAATGATAAATTGTATTTGCTGACAAGGTCATTGTATCGAACATAGAACTTACGAAATGATGACTTTAGACGAGACTGCTGATATTCTTGATTCATCAACTTGCTTGTCAATAATTTACATCGTTTCAGAAATTGTTCATACGAAGAGCGTGCTCTTGAGTATCGAATCAACTGCGTATGCAGGTGATGAAGGTATATTGCTGTATAAGTAAGGGAAGTTGACGATAGAAAAGTTAAATTCATCATGTTTATCATATAGTTTGGTTGTTAGATTACCAATAGCGTCTTTTTCAAGTAAAATATCCAAGTATGAAACAGAAGTGTCAGACTCTGTGGTATCTTTTATTTCAAGCTCACCAGGATATATCGTATCGACATAGGAATGGAAATTACCATTGTTAATTGACAATACGTCGTCGATATATCTAAATGTTGAGTTGAAGGTCACAGCAAGTGTTTTCTTCTTTTCACGCATAAGATTTTACATAAATTCTGCTTCATATGAATATAAAAAAAAGTCTGCTAATAACGGAGCGCATTTAGTACCCATGGGAATTCCAATAGATTGTTGGAATACCTGGTCTCCAAAAACCACATAGACATTGTCAATCAAAAACTCACACCAGGATATATCGTGTCGACGTAGGAATGGAAATTACCATCATTAATTAACAATACGTCGTCGATATATCTAAATGTCGAGTTGATGGCCACAGAAATGATTATGAAATTCAACCCCCTAAAAATCAAGCAATAATTTTCAGCACAAAGAAAAATATTCAATATCCAAAGCTTCTCTTTCAAAAATCCCAACTGGACTTTGTCAATGAGCACAAACATCTTGGAGTATGATTTTCACATGACGCTAGTTGGTCATCACATATTGAACATTTACCGGCTAGTGCCTACAAAAAATTGGCACTTCTAAAGAAATCAAAATTTAAAATAAATTAAAAATGAACCGAAAACTCTCTCTTTCATGTAAACATCATTTATATGACCGCAATTTGAATACGCCTCTGTAGTGTGGTGCAGCTGTCAAAACAATGACAATGATAAACTAGAAAAAAACTGCAACTTTACTGCACGAATAGTCACAGGTTTAACAACAATAGCCTCTACAGATTCACTATACTTTGAAACCGAGTGGGAACTACTTAGTTGTAGATTGATTGATTGTATATTGTTTAACGTCCCTCTTGAGATTTTTTCACTCATATGGGGACGTCACCGATGCCGGTAAAGGGCTTCAAATTTAGACCTATACTCGGCACTCAGGGCCATTGAGCAGTGAGGGTTCTTCATCGTGCCAACGCCTACCGTGACACGGGACCTACGTTTTTAAGGTCATACCCGAAAGACCCGTGACTTTCACTTCTAGTGCCGAGCGCTTGGCGAAGGAACAGTCACTACCTTTGTTTACGTCTTAGGTATGACGCGGCGCCGCGATCGAGAATCGAACCCGGGCATCCCGATCACGAAGCGAACGCTCTACCACTAGGCTACCGTGACCGGTACTTAGTTGTAGAAGACAAACATGAAGATTACATACATTTTTTATAAAATGCATAAGAATTTAGTACCAGATTATCAATGGATATACTTCCAGATTTGCGACGTAATGCATCTAGGTATTGAACAAGAAACTCTGAGAATTATGATATTCCAAAATATTAAAGATCTATAAGTCATCATATATTCCTACTGTAGTCAATGAATGGAATTCATTACCACTTAAAAAAAAGAAATGTACGTTTGATGTCAAATTTTAATTCTAAAATAAGTAATAAAAAAATCGGTCCCGCCATCATATTTTGATTATGGTAACAGACGACTAAATGTTCTTCAAACCAAACTTCGATATAATTGTGCATTGAATAATGACCCTTATAGATGCAATTTAATTTCAAGCCCCTTATGTTCTTGTTGCAAAAAAGAAGATACGTACCATTATTTTTTGTATGTCCAGAAAATAAGGAAGCTAGAAAGGAATTTTTTGATAATTTTTTAGTATTTGATAAAAATTCATAATTTAGATATAGATGTTTTATTATGGGGGTAGATTCAATGAGTGCTGTGCATGTGGAGAACGAACGTCGTTTTTCTATTGTTCAAACACTTATCAAACATTATGGCATATTCGCATGTTAAAATTACTGTTTTTATATTTTATTCATTTATACATGCATTTAAAATGCATTGATTTGTAAATTTTGCACATATTGAATACTTTAAATGTAAATATGTAACTGTGACCTAATTGAATTTTTGTAATTTATATGTTTTTATATGTAGGAAAAAGGTGTCATAAGTTTTTAGAACTTGTGCCAAATCCCTTTATAATTAGAAATTAAAATAAAATATGTTTAAACTAAACCAGAAATTTGCTAGGATAATCATATTCTTGGCACTTGGTTCGGGATGCATTTCTTGAATGTATAAAAATTACGACATAGTTAATCATTCAATAAATTATATGTAAACTACATCTCAAAAAAAAAAAAAAGAAATGATTGACCGATTAAATGCACTAGCTATTCCATAGATTTAAAATAGACAGCAAAAGTGCTATTCAAACTTGGAATACTCAATTGTTTTGCGTCGTTCAATCTTTTCACGTTAACATAAAAGTAAATCCGTAATTTACTACACAGGTTGATGTTTATGTGAATGGAGTACCCTCTAACTTTGACATGAGTATAGTTCCTAGTAAGAAATTAAGTAATGCTGCTGGAGCAGCTTTGGAAGCTGACTGCAAGAAGAGATATCCGAATGGACTTAAAATAGGAGACATCGCAGACACAGGGGGCTTTAATTCCAAATGCCAGAGAGTGTACCATGTGACCCTTCCTAAGAGTCAACAGGATGGCAGTCAGAACAAGGTATTATTAATGGATGCTCTTTTGTGGTTCAAAGTTATTTACCTAATTATATTTCCAATTTTTTTTTAATTTTGCCCTGAGCAAATCTAAACATAGGTTTCATAACTCATTAAAAAAATGTTTGTGAAAAACTGATGCCCCTGTATGGCAACATAACGAAGGTAAAGCTTTCTCAAATGCAGATCAAATATGTTGGTACCTAAAGTAAAGCTTTTTCATAAAATACAACTGTGAAATAGAAAAACCCTAGCACCACCTGTTCAAAGGTAATGACCAAGGTTACCATTTTCAAAGGAAGGATAAAGTCCGGTTCAAAGTCAAAATGCCTTGTCTCAAAGATTACAAATGGGAAGTATGAAAGATTCAAAGTGCTGGCCCTTACCATCAAAGGTTATGGCCAAGGTTGAAGTTTGTAAAAAAGTAGGTCAAACTCCAAGGTCAAACGGCCAAAGTTTTTGATATCCAATGAAAGAACTTATCACAAGGATCACATATCTGAAGTATGAAAGGTCTTGCCACAAAGAATACATATATGAAGTATGAGTCCTGGTATCTACTGTTCAAAAGATATAGCCAAAGTAAAAGTTTGTATTTTTTGTGTTTAAATAGGTCGAACTCCAAGGTCAAGGTTAAAGAGTCAATGTTCTTGATCTCAAATGAAAGATCTTGTAACAGGGATTAATTGGGTAAGTATTAACGCCCTGGTTCAAAGCCTTTAAAAATATGGCCAAGGTTGTATTTATTAAGTAGGTCAAACTCAAAAGTCATGGTCTCTAATGAAAGGTCTTTTTCACAAGGATTACATATTCGAAGTATGAAAGCCCTAGCCTTTATTGTTCAAAAGTTATGGCCAAGGTTAAAGTTTTTTCACAAGTACGGAAATCTTCAAGGTCAAGGTCAAAAGGTCAAAGTTGTTGGTCCTCAATGAAAGGTTTTACCACAAAGAATACATCTGTGAGGTATAAAAGCCCTGATACATGTATTTACTGTTCAAAAGATTTGCCCAAAGTAAAGTGTGGAATTTTTGTGGTAAAGTGGGTCAAACTCCAACGTCAAGGTCAAAAGTTCAAGTATGGTGGTACCTGAAGAAAAGTCTTATCACACGAAATACACATGTGAAATATGAAAGTCAAAGCCCCACTAAATTTTTGCGGACAAACAGAAAAGCAGACAGAGAGACAGCTAGACAGACGTACGGACACAACAAAACTACCGGTATATACCCCTGAAACTTCTTTTACAGGGGCATAAAAATAACTTCTTGCCTTTATGATTAGTGCATCGCCTTTTGCTTTTGTTATGCCAATGATATCGATCTAAGTGATCTTAATTTTAAGGTTCAAGTTTGTGAAAGAAAACTGTTAAATATTAACATGATTAATAAGCCTAAAATTTATAATTTCATTCGGTTAAGACTTTAAATATATTTTAAAACCTTTTCAGAGTATAACTGATTCAGTAAAGAACTGCCTTGAGAGGGCCAATAAAAAGAGCTTCAGCTCCATTGCTGTACCAGATCTGGGTTCCCCCATTGGGTACCCTCCCAGTATCCTGGCAGACCTGATGTTCACCGCGGTGGAGGAGTTCAGTAAAGGGAAAACCAACCCCAATCTCAGCCAAGTGGTGTTCTCCATCTTCAAAAATCAAGTTTACACGGTATCAGCCACTGTGTATAAGTCTACAATACTTTGTCATTATGATAAATTTCAAGAGTTGGAAGATTTATTATTTATTATAATTACATTTAAAACCGGTATGTGTTTTGTTTGTTTTACAGGCATTCGTTAACAAAGCGAAGGAAATTTCAACTCAAAATTCAGGTATAAGTGGACTTTTGCGAAGACACTGACTTTTACGTTTGATGGCTTACTTTTACGCCTGGGCGCTCTTTTGTGAAAAGAAATATTGATCTTAACTTTTAACAAAACGGTAATAACGGGCTATTTCAAAAATCAATTTATGTTGTCTAGGAAGGAAACAGCAACATTTCTACATTCAAAACCCTCCATTCAAGTCTTGACTAACTCCTCCTAATTTTCCTACCGAAATGTGTCTTCTTCTTTATTTCATTTCTTAAATTGTTGAAAATAAAAGCATACAATAATTCTCGTGAGAAAAGTATCTAAATAAATTTCATTATACCCCCAATTATATCTTTTGTTTGATTAATTATTTCAAAGCAACGATGTGAATGTAACAACTTTCACCTCAATAAATGTCTTTTTGTATCATTTCAATCCCGTACCTCCGTACATGACTCAGGTTTAAATGTCCAAGTAAGCCGTCAACTGTAAAAGTAAGTGTCTTCGCAAAAGTCAACTAATACATGTAAAATTTTCATTTTTTTTTCAAAATTTGTCCGTTGTCTGTCGTCGTTGTTGTTGTTAGCGTTGTCGTCGTTGTTGTCGTTTCGTAAACTTTTCACATTTTCATCTTCTTCACAAGAACCACTTGGCCAATTTCAATCAAACATGCTACAAAGTATCCTTGGGTATGGGGATCTAAATAAGGGCCAGGCCCTCTTCCCAGGGGAGACAATTATGAATAAGATTGATTGTTTACTGTTTAACGTCCCTCTCCAGAATATTTCACTGATATGGAGACGTCACCATTGCCGGCGAAGGGCTGCAAATTTAGGCCTCTGCTCGGCACTTACGGCCTTTGAGTAGGGAGGGATCTTTATTGTGCCACACCCGCTGCCACACCTGCTGTGACACAGGGCCTCGGTTTATACGGTCTCATCAGAAGGACCGCCCCATTTTGTCGCCTTTTACGAAAAGCAAGGGGGTACTGTTGATTTATTCTAACCCGGATCCCCACGGGACCAATTATGAATAAGTGATATTTTTAGCTCACCTGAGCCGAAGGCTCAAGTGAGCTTTTCTGATCAAAATTTGTCCGTCCTCTGTCGTTGTCGTCGTCGTTGTCGGCGTAATATTTTCACTTTTTCATCTTCTTCTCAAGAACCACTGGGCCAATTTCAACAAAACTTGGCACAAAGTATCTTTGGGGATTCATGTTTGTTCAAATGAAGGGCCACGCCCTTTTCCAAGGGGAGATAATCATGAATTTGTTAAAAATCAATGGCATTTTTAAAAAATCTTCTTCTCCAGAACCGCTGGGCCAGGAAAGATGAAACTCATGTTGAAGCATCCTCAGGTAGTGTAAATTCAAGTTTTTTAAGAAGGATATGGAAATAACGAACAGTATTCAATCTCAACGTCCATTAAACAAATACACAAAACAAGAGCAGAGCAAACACGGACCCCCGAAACATCAGAGGTGGGATCAGGTGCCATGGAGGAGTGAGCATCCCCTACTGACCGGTCACACCCGCCGTGTGCTCGTTGTCATAATCAGGATATAACGGAAAAAATCCGTGGTCAATTCAGTGTATAAATAATGGACTAACAATTGGTATGAAAAACGTCAGTCAACATTTCATTCAATGATAAATTGTATTTGCTGACAAGGTCATTGTATCGACCATAGAATTTACGAAATGAGACCGCTGATATTCTTGTTTCATCATCTTGCTTGTCAATAATTTACCTCGTTTAAGAAATTGTTCATACGTAGAGCATGCTCTTGCATATCGAATCAACTGAGATATAAATACTCAGTATGCAGGTGATGAATGTATATTGCTGCATAAGTAAGGGAAGTTGACGATAGAAATCATGACCCCCGGGGTAAGGGTGGGGCCAAAATGGCCGACCCAAGTTTTACATAAGAATACATAGGAAAAATCTTTAAAAATTTTCTTCTCAAGAACCACTGAGCCAGGAAATATGTGGAAGCATCCTCAGGTAGTGTAGATTCAAATTTGTTCAAATCATGACCCCTGGGGCAAGGATGGGGCCAAAATGGCCGACCCAAGTTTTAGATAGGAATATATAGGAAAAATCTTCTTCTCCAGAACCGCTGAGCCAGGAAAGATCAAACTCATGTGGAAGCATCTTCAGGTAGTGTAGATTCAAGTTTGTTCAAATCATGACCCCAGGGTGTAGGGTGGGGCCAAAATGGCCGACCCAATTTTTTCATAGAAATATATAGGAAAAATCTTCTTCTCCAGAACCACAGGGCCAGAAAAGATGAAACTCATCTGTAATCATCCTCAGGTAGTTCAGATTCAAATTTGTTCGAATCATGACCCCTGGGGCAAGGGTGGGGCCAAAATGGCCAACCCAAGTTTTACATAGGAATATTTAGGAAAAATCTTTTAAAAATCGTCTTCTCAAGAACCACTGGGCCAGGAAAGATGAAACTCATGTGGAATCATCCTCAAGTAGTGTAGATTCAAGTTTGTTCAAATCATGACCCCCGGGGCAAGGGTGGGACTAAACTGGCCGACCCAAGTTTTACATAGGAATATATAGAAAAAAATCTTTAAAAATCCTTCTCAAGAACCACTGGGCCAGGAAAGATGAAACTCATGTGGAATCATCCTCAGGTAGTGCAGATTCAAGTTTGTTCAAATCATGATCCCTAGGGCTAGGGTGGGGCCAAAATGGCCAACCCAAGTTTTACAAAGGGATATAGAGGTAAACTTTTCAAAATCTTCTTTTCAAGTACTTCAAAGCTATGATTAGTGATATATATGTATATGGAATCATCCTCAGGTAGTGTAGATTCTAGTTTGTTCAAATGATGAACGCCTGGAAGGGGGGGGGGGGGTAAATTCAAGCCCGATGTGCTCAGGTGAGCGCTGTGGCCCCTGGGCATCTTGTTTTGGTATCTTTTAAAAATCTTCTTTTCAAGAAAAACCAGTGGGCCAGAAAATATGAAACTCATGTGAACACATCCTCAGGTAGTGAAGATTCAAGTTTGTTCCCCGGGGATATGGTGGGGCCACAATGGGGTATCAAAGTTTCATACAGGTATACATAGGAAAATTTTTTAAAATGTCTCCTCTCAAATACCACTGCGTTCAGAAAAGATGGAATCCATGGGGAAGTGTCTTCATGTAGTTTAGATTCAAGTCTGTTCAAATCTTGATCCCCGGGGGTAGGGTAGGGTGGGCCCACAATGGGGTATCAAAGTTTTACATAGCAATACATAGGATAAATCTTCTTCTCAAGTACCACTGGTACAGGAAAGATCAAACGTATTGGGAAACATCCTCATGTAGTGTATATTCAAGTTTGTTCAAATTATACCCTCTGGGGTAGGGGACACAAAGGGGGATATAAGTTTAATATAGGAATACATAGATAAAATCTTTAAAAATCTAAAGAACAGCATAGCCAGGGATCTTCGTAGTTACAGTACATGGAAGCATCCTCTGATAGAGAAGATTCAAGTTAGTTTGTTCAATCATGACCCCTGGAGCTAGGGTGGAGCCATTATGGGTGATCAAAGTATGGTAACATCGAAAATTTCTTTAAGATTCTTCTTCTTAAGAACAGCAAAGTTGTAAATGGTCATAGCTATATGGAAGCATCCTCGAATAGTGTAGATTCAAGTTTGTTCAAATCATGACCTCCAGGGTTAGAGTGGGGCCAAAATGGGGTATTAGAGTTTTACATGGGAATACATTGGAAAAATCATTGATCATCAATTTAAAAATGGCATTTAAAGTTGATCATAACAATAAACAACAAAAGGTTTATGTGTTATATCAATTCAAAAGCATTCGTAAGAAGAGTAGATTTAAGTTTGATAAAATACCCCTCCCCCTCCTTCCTTTCTTGAACTTTTATATATTTTACCTTTTCAATACTAAACTGACTTTGATTTTATCTAACTAGTAGCTCAAGTGAGCGATGTTGCCCCTGGGCCTCTTGTTTAAATAATTAATTTTTTACTGCCTTGTGAAATTTGTAGTTTTATATTGAAAATACTTTTGGTTTGATAATAAATTATTTTATTTTATAGATTAATGGACTTTTACGAGGAGCGCTGACTTTTAAAGTTGACGCTTACTTTTACACTAGGGCTATGTACGGTAGCTCCTTTGCGATATAAATATTTAGCTCAACACTTAATTAAACGAGAATAACGGGTTATTTCAATGCACATATAAGTTGTCCTTGAAGAAAACGACAACGACCCTACCCTCTGCTCCCGGACTTCACAAGTTAGTGTCCCTAACACCAAACCTATGACCACTAGAAAGGTTTTCTTATGCATTATCAATTCTGTACTTCCGTACATGATAAAAGTTTAAATGCCCAAGTAAACGTCAACTGTAGAAGTCAGTGCTTCTCGTAAAAGTCCAATAAAGAAGGAGTTTATTCATATTTTCACTAAGAGATTTGTTAGAAATTCATTTTATTTTATACAATATCTGATGAACACATTCGCTGCCCATAGACTTCAATGTAAAAATCAAGATGCAATTAACTGGATAAAAATCAAAATTTTGTAGATTCCTTTGGTGGAGCATTTTTATTAGATAACATGTTCAAAATGTTACCATGATTTAAAACATCGGATCATTAATTTATAAGGTACAATATATGGTCCTTATACATTGAATACCTTAAGCATTGTTCCTTTCGTAGTACCTATTATGCAAATAAAAAAGACTAAGTCTTATGGATGGCTCATATATTGTTCTGTCAGTACATATATTGCATAAAATATCCAAATAACAGTAAAGCAGTCTGACATGACCTCTAACTGGCGACTTCACTTTATGTCAACCTCTTAATTCTTAAACTTTTAAAGATAAATTCATTAAACTGTTCGATTATTTTTTTAAAAGAATGTCAATAGCCAAGGAAAAGTGTGCCGTATCGAACGCTGCTATTTTTCAAATCTCCTAATAAAGATTGTATACTCACCGTCAATAGAAACGCAACACCCTAATTTTAAGTTGAAAATTATATACGGGTTATAACTATG